CATCGCAGAATTATCTTGTCTCTTCAATTATAATACATGGTAGCCAGGACGTTTACTGCAGGTTTTCCATTTAAAGACAATTTCCGCGATCGAGTATTACCGGTAGTAGGTGATCAATGAGCCTGTAGCCCATAAGTAACTCCCCAGTAGAGAAAGAAGCGAAAAAAACCTTGGGAACACTCTGAACAGAGACCCTCTTAGCAGTGGAGCCGGCGCCTTGGACTACTTTTTCGGCCGTCGGCAAGCCCAATCAGCAAGACTACGTGCAAGCCAATTCCCGGCAAGAGCACAGGAAATCACCTACGACGCTCCAGGCAACGCTATGTACACACGCAATTCCGCTTGTAAGCCGTTGTCTTGCAGAGTGAAAGTAATCGTGGTTGCAATGATTGCAATAATCACGCGACTCTAGCTTTCTTATGCCGGGCTCATGTGCAATAATCACGCGACTCTAGCTTCCTTAACCCCGGGCTCATGCGCCATTTGATAAGGACTCATCTCAAGATTGTAATCTTCTATAATATAACAGCACTATAATCCACAATATAGCTTCACCAGTCGGATCGCCCGGCTGACGCCGAGCTCTCCTCCTTCTTTTCAGCTGGCCTGGCTTCGCCAGGCGCACGGAAAGGAATTTGTTAATTGCCTGAGCTGCTCATATTGCGCGCTAGTGGCGAATCATAATAGACAGAGTAACCTAGCGAAAGATCCTCACCCCCTCAGAGTGCACCCCTCAGAGCTCAGCGAAAATGGGGGCGGGGCGTGCTGGTTTTGGCCACAACGCCCATTCTATAAGTAGATCTCAGAAATAGATAGAAAGATCAGAATATCAATATATGTGCACAGTAGATGAACAAATTCCGTTTTTATTACATGCATCATAACAACCACCAACGATGGGCGATTAACTTGTCATTAACATGCAATCCACCTGCTAAGGTTGCATGAATGGCTGCAGATGACAATATTTAGGCAGCGTTCATTGAATATCTTACAAACTACTTCGTTATTCGTTCTTATCAGTGATATAAGCACCTGTGCTATTCTGAGAAGCAAAAAAAATATTTAAATACTCACTGAACGCATAAAGTGTGTTCCAATATTGGAGTTTTTGATTTCTCCAAACTTCCTGTTTCAGGCGAAGTATATACCCCCCCCCCCCCTTCCCCTAGTGGGATGTAAGTAACTTTCCTAGAGCTATCAAGGAAGTGATGGCGTGGCGAAAATTTTTGCTTAATGAAGGAGCTTTTTGTGAGTGAGTGGTCAAGAGATTGTCGTGAACATGTCCCCTTATCTTACTTATCAGTTTTGATAAATTGCTCTGTCACCACTCGTCATCAATGTTGCTATCCTAAAACTTATAATTTCGTAGTGTGGAGGCTCCAGCGATTGAACAACAACTGCATCGTTCTCTATCAGGCCCTATCAGCTGTTATCATTTCTTGTCACCCGCCGTCGCATTCTCCACCTTCCCCTTGATATCATTTGCTGAAATCAACGCCTAACTGATGCTGTGCACCGCGTTATGAGTATGTTGTCCATTCCCACTCTAACTCCCTTTATCAGCGGCTAGCAGTTCTTGTCACCCACATATTCCTGTGCCATAACCTATATCATACCTTGAAAAAAACGCCCCAGTGTTCCAGTCGGACCGTCCCCTTCCTTCTCTTGCGCATGCTCAGATCGGGCTGAGCACGCGCAGGGGAAGGAGCAGAGGGGGGGGCGCCCAGTGCCCCCCTCCCCCCTCCTCGGCCCCACCCCACCCTGCCCCCGCACGAGCACACGTCCAGCTGCCACGCCAGCAGCTCGTGCAATGGCTCGGATGTACCGAATGGTTGTCTTATATAGCGGAGGCCGATATCACGATCAAAACATTGGATTGATACTTCCGCACCGATTTGCCTGTTTGCCTAGCGGTCGTTTCGCCTCCAGCGAACTCGAAGCCTTGAAGCATTTTGCGGACGGACAAACATACATACTTACATACTACATATCATACAGACGGCGACAACCGACACACAACAGTAGTGCTATAGAATAGAAGGATTGATTGCCCAATGAAGAAATACATATATATCTCAAGAAAATATTGAAAATGAGTTCATCATACCATCCAGGTCAGCTTTCATGCTGAAAACATCACTGGCACCATCATAGAAGCCAACGTCGTCATAAGCCCCATTTTCCATTGCGGATGTCAAACACAGAACCCAGCCGTTCGTTATTCTCAACAATCGTACTCCCGTCCCCTTCAAAGTAAACAGTACGCTGAAGCAGTATGGAAGCGATGATCCACTGGACTGAAAAGGTACCTACCGTGACACCCTCAAAGGAGCTGTTGTTAATAGCAGATAGAAGCTTTACATGGGAGAAAGAGGCATTCGCACCGAGTGCTTGGCTGAGGGCTATCGCCAGCGTCCAGAGCCCATCGTAAAGGTAACCTTGAAAAATATTCGGAGACTCTCGTCCGAGTTCTGCCCATATGTAGTTCGCTCTCTGTAATTAATAATAGTATTGAATATTTCTGATTTTTCAACCAAGGAAGCAAAAAGTGAACTTTACTCTATATGGCTCAAGGTAAAAAATATATGAAAAACAACAAGTTCAGTATTCGTTTAATTCCCAAAATGACCGAGATTAGTCATCATCCCTGACTAACATCCCCCTTCCTCTAAACCGGTCGCTTTAAGGTACAGCACACCCCAAGGACACATTTTTGTTGATAGCTTACTCTGAATTTCGTTATTTAAGAGTCAGGGATGGTGACGTGGGCGAAGCCATACTGTCATTGGCACCCACGTCCTCTTGCTCCACGTCTTAGAAAGTGAAGGTCATCAACGAGGCCAGCAGCGACAAAGATGGGAAATCGATTTTCGGCCGTACCATAGTCATCATCTTACAACAGTAAGCTCACCTTGCCGCCTATGACGTGAGTACGGTTGTCCTTTCTGACCAACGCGAACTCTACAGCGAAGTGGCCTTCAAGCACCCGATTCATGTCTTCGGCAGTACAGTTCGCAGCACCAACACCCATCCATCTGAAAAATTGGCATTTATGCAGTGTCGCGTACACCTTAGGTTCCCGAAGGCTGTTGTTCATAACGGACTAAACATCCTATGAAGGCTTACGCTGTTGAATGGTATCCAGGAAGGATCCATAAGTAGCTCTCGCCATACATTTGGCGATGGAAAGCTTCACAAAGTACATAAGCGGCTAAATCTTCAGCAATGTCAACGACAAGAATGCGGACGTCGCGACTCTGAAATAATCTGCTGATTCAGCTGCCTTCAATACCTTTGAATAGAGCCAGTCTTGAATTATCTTATTTCCCTGCCCAAATTGGGGTATGCATATACAGGGGGGGGGGTAAAAAAAGACACTTTCTTTCCTCGGCTTTCGAGGCGATATCCTATCCTACTATTACGTCATCCCATTCAAAAGTGCCGAGACATATAGAGGAATGGCAGAAAAGCAAAGGGGATAGGGAAGCGGGCTACTATACCATTTGGAGGCTAGTACCTTCAGCTGTGTATCTGTGAAATTTGGCGAACCTACCCACAGAGAAGTTCTCGAGAAATTGAAAAGAAGCCCGAGTGGTGAAAATCAGCGCCTTTCAAATCAGACGTCATAAGAGGGAAGTGCGCTGCTCAAATTTGACCTGCGCCGGACCATAGTTGTGTGTAAGGGTGTTCTCGAAATAAAGTGGAAGGTTTGGTTCAGGAGCCC